TGAGAAATAATGGCTCAGGCTGAGCTAGCAATTTTCTGGCAAAAAAAAAAAAAAACTTATCTGGGAAAAAAGCAATTTTAAGGAGACTGAGACTATTCATAAATTCAAGTCAAATTTAGAGATTATTTTCAGCCTCTGGCTTCTTCTATCCTCCCCTTTCCCTTCCCCCCTTCTCAAGAATTATTGTTTGCAAAAATTAAAACAAAATGTTTTGGGGTTTTCGTTTGTTTAAAAAGCAATTTGCATTTTGAAAATTGCCAAAGTATAAGTTTTGGAAGGGTGGGGTCTTTTGAAAGGGCAGCATTGTCATTGCTGAATGAAAACCGCGGAGAGGAATGTGTCCTGGGAGACGCAGGGCGCTGGGATGCGGGGCCCGGGGGACGCGGCAGCGGCACAAAAACCCACGACCACAGCTCCCACCGCACAGCTCCAGCCTGCACCTCCCATTCACGTATCTCCTTTCATTCTCCCAAGTGGAAAATCCTGCCCGCCTTGACCTTCTTCGACAGAGTCGTTTGACCAAGTCACTGTTTTCAGCGCTGAGGCGCTTCCGCTGTAGTTTCTTCACCCGGCTCCAAATCACAGCTTTCCCCTTTTCCGCTCCCACCTTCTCCAGGTTTCTGAACATCTGTGTTTAAGTGATATCTGGTTATTCATGCTGGAGCCTGGTGGCCCAGGTAGAGGCTGTTTGATGAAGCTCTGTACATCTGGGCCCAATAAAGTCGGTGAACAAAAGCCTTGTGAGGTCCTTGGCAAAATAAGGGAAAGAAGAGAGCAGGAGACAGCAGCGCCAAGCGACTGAAGCCAAAACCTTTCATCACAGAGGTCTCAGCACCTGGCACGTGTTTTGCCCATAGCTGGGTTTGCGCTGGGTCCACAGCCTGTGCAGGAGTGTCTTCTCCACTGGGTGGAAAGCAAAGTATGGGGGATCGTAGGTGATGCCGATATTGGGAGGTGATTTTTAATACGCACGACGGAGGCGTTCATAGAAAGAAAAGATGGGTTGCTAAAGAGCCACTCACTGTGGCGGGGAAATTCAAACCAAGAAACACTGGCTGGAAATTAAAGCCAGGCCAACTCATGTTGGGAATGAGGCAAAATGCTTTAGCACAGTGGGGGATTAACCATCGGCGGAGGGAGAGGGTGGGCGGGAGCGGCGCTTCCTGAGCTCCTCCATCCAGGGAAAATGTGGCCGGGCGAGACACGCGCCCTGCCCACAGCACCCACACTCCGAGCTGGGATCCAAAAGCATCATGACCTGCTGCTGGGTCCCTGTTGATCATAATGGCCGGCTCCCAGCCATAGTGGTGTGCCCAGGAATTGCCCACGCTCAGCATCTCCCCGGTCCCACCACTGGTTTTCTCCCAGGCTGTAACACCAGCGTGATGGATCCCATCATGACAAGTCCCAGCCTCATCCCCAGCAAGGACTTTCTGACGCCTGGATGGGTCATTTATTGCATTGCCCTCATTCTTCCGTCCCTACACACTATTGTCAGGAAAAATTAGGATGGCTATTTTCCTTCAGTCAGACCAAGCCACTCCCATTGGGCGTTTACAAACACATCAGGCTAGAGAAAGAGCTGCCAGCTAGCCCTGGTTGGTGGCCAGTGGTGCACAGCACTGGCCGCTCAGGACTCAGGCACTCAGGGTGAGCACAGGAGACAGTAATTTCAATTGAAATCACTTTCCTTGCGTCAGTTTGGCCCCTTCTTTTGGCACAAACAGGTGGATTGGGAGGGGGTGGATGATGGAAAAGCAGCCACGTGCATGGGGTTAGGAGATAACTGGTGCCCAGCAGATGTCCTTGGTGCCTGGGATTGCAGGTAGAAGAAGGGGGCAGAGCCAAGGGTAAGCTGACCGAGCCACAAAAGGCTGAGAAGACACGGTGGAGGGGTGACCATTGGTCCTTGGCTCCTTGCAGGGCTCGCGGGGAGATCACAGGGGAGCCAAGTGCAGGGACACTGGGCATGGAGAGGGGCTGGACCAGCTCACACCTTCTCCCAGCTCATTCACTCCCTCCTGGAAGGGTTCTAACCCCGAGACATACACAATCTTTAGGTTGTTGGTTCTGGATGAGGACAAGGATGGCTGTTCTGGAGGCCTCCTTTCAGCTTCTTGTGAGGTTCAGCTTCTTCCCTTCTCCAGACACTGGATTTTCCCATCCCTGGAAGATCAATGTAAGGCTGCGAGTAGCTTTGCACACTACGCTTGCTCCTCCACATTCCCGCGCAGCTCTGCCCTGGTGGGACCAGCTGAAATATTTGCAAAGATCTTGAGAAAATCCCAGGAGTTCTGCTTTCCTGGCTTTGCAAAAACATTTTTGCTTATCAAGCAACCCAAAGAAATGCGAAGATTTTCGCTCACTCTTCGGGTGGCCTCAGCTTTGAATTTTAAAAAGGGATTTGCTAATGCAATCTTGCAAAATACTTGAGTATCAAGTCCAGCTCTCCTAAAACACAAGTTTTAGGAGGAGGTGAGCTTTCATGCTCTTTGGAAAGCACCATTTCTGCCAGATTCAAGGAAGAACTAGATCCTGTGTGAAGCCATGCCTTCATGAGAGGCCCTGGAGAAATGTCTCCTTATGTTGATCAACAGGGACTAAATCCTGGGGTTTGCAGCACCAAGAGCAGAGCTACCAGTGCGTCTCAAGGCTCTGAATGATGGAGACGTGTCTGCATGGTTGCAGTAGGGATGGCAGACCCTTAGTTTGAGTGACTTAATCTCTTTTTCCTCTGCTTGAGCTGAGCCCCAAGGCCATGCCGCTGATGCAAGTGTTGCCTTGGTGGTTAGCCATAGCCCAGAGGACATCCTTTATGTCCCAGCCTGATGCACCTCTCACCTGGTCCATGCCTGGGGGAAGGCTCTTCCCTGTGTGGAGAAACCAACCCTCAGCCCTGTGTCTCCTATACACCTGGGAAAAGGGTTTAATCTCAGCATTTCGGCCTGTGAAACAGAGATTGGGACTTTAAAAAGGCCACCTCCTTCCAGAAAGCTTGGCTCTGCAGAGCAAGAATCACCTCTAATCCCCTCTCTGTAGGGCACTGGCTGTGGCAGAGACACCGTGCTGGCAGAAAAGGAGAATGTCATCTCCTGCTGGGGCGCTCCTGGCAAAGCACAAAGTGCTCTTCTTCCCGAGATTAAGATGGAAGGGGAAAAAAAACCTACACGGGGGGACACAGAGAGCCCCCGGTGCGTGCTCCCGTGCTTCTTTTAGATGCAAAGAGGCTGTTTAAGTGCACTTGCAGTGTCAGCAAACGTGTCTGTGGGAGCGGGCAAGATCTAAAAAGCAGCAGTTCCTCATGCAGGAGCTGTGTCTCCCGTCTCCCTGATGGTTGCCTCCTGTTTTGGGAGGTGACAGATGGACCCGCGGGCTGGTGGGCTCATCTAAGGAGAGGCAAACCGCAGTTACGGGGGGTGGCCCCGCTCCGGTGTCAGGAATCTCACTTTCTCACGGATGGCAAACCGCTCTTGGGCCGCTCTTCTCACCCTGAGCATGTTGGTGGCTGCTTCTCCTACGCCGCCAGCGTTTGGTGGGGACGTGAGGTTGGGCCTCACCATGTCAGCCAGAGGAATTCAGATTGCAAAGCACGGAGAGAGGCAGGCTCCATCCCGCTGGTCGGACGTGTCCAGAGGATTTTGCTCTCCCCTTTGCTTTCCCGTCATGAGTTTGTTGGGGATTGTTCCCGAGAAATAATCCGGAACTGCACTGAAATTTTCTGGTCTGAAATTTGATAATTAAGCAAATATAGCATGTCTTTGTCTTGGGACAAGCACCATAAGGTAAACAGGAAGGAATGAGGGATTAAGATGTCTCTGCTCTAAAGGAAGGTGACAAGCCCAGAGCCGTGACACCTTCGTGCCGAGCCGAGAGGCCCAGCTGCGGGTTGGCATTGCACAGATGCATTGTTCGGGGCTGAAGAGCAAATAAAAGCAAAGGGAAAAGAAAACAAGCTATAAAATTCTCGGCAAAGCACAGAGCCCCAGCAACTGCCTCTTGATGTTCCCGTGACAGCTCGGGGGAGAGGCAGGCGAGGGGTCGAGCTTTTGAAGTCCCGAAGTCGTCCCTTTGCAAAGGCCCCCTGTTAAAATAGTCCCCGTGTTGACATTAGGCTGCATATGGTGGAGAAATTGGACATCTCCCGGCAGGTTCAGACACAGCTCCAGCAATCAAAGCAGAGGGGGGACTTTTTGGTGTTTGACTGACTGGGCGTCGGGCCGGCCCTGTCCCAGCGGCGGGATGGGGGATGCGGAGACGAAGGTGAGGTTTCATTGGGACATTCAGGGCTGCAGACCCATAACAGAGCCACTTTCTCTCATGGGGAGAGAAACCAGGGGAAAAGCTACCTAAGAAGGTCTTGAAATGGTATTTGGAGCTCAAATACACATATGTGTCAGGACTTGTGAGAGCAGGAGGACAGGGAAGGTTGGGAAGGGGATGCTGGAAACCTCCTTTCCCCCTGGGGCAGAGAGAGGAGGGTCCCAGGGTGCGAGGAAGTGGGGGTTTCGCAGCGGTTTGTGCCGAGCAGCAGCACGATGTGAAGCACCAGAGCAGGAGAGCAGATGAGAAGGGAGAGGAGCAGAGCTCGCATGGGGCAAGGTGCCTGTGGTAAAGCTGGAGGAGCAGCTGGAGGGGTGTCCGTTGCCGATTCCTAACCATGGATGTTCTCCCTGCCCTCACACCCCACCTGCCCCCAGCTTTTAATTCACCTTTAGAGTGGGGAGAGGCAAAAAGGCAGATCTATTACAAGTCACCATGTGAAACAAGGTCTCGGTGACCCCAGCTTCCCCTCCAAAAAGCCAGACTCCCCCCATAGCACTGTTCAAGGAGGGATGTGGGGCAGCAGTTGGCTTCCCATTGACAGAGGTGCCACCAGAACATCCTCTCCTGTGCCACCCCTGCTGTGGCAGGAGCTGGAGGGTGCCCAGCCCCATGCACAGGGTCTCCCCTGGGGTTGGCACCCCCGGATGCTGACGGTCTCCCCTCTTTGTCCTTCACAGCCTGCAACTGCAACCTCCATGCCCGGCGCTGCCGCTTCAACATGGAGCTCTACAAGCTGTCGGGGCGCAAGAGCGGTGGCGTCTGCCTCAACTGCCGGCACAACACTGCAGGGCGGCACTGCCACTACTGCAAGGAGGGCTTCTACCGGGACCTCAGCAAGCCCATCTCCCACCGCAAGGCCTGCAAAGGTACTGGGGCTGGGGTGGGATGGTCGGGACCCCACAGCTCTTTCTCCTCCAACCTCCCCTCCTGGACTTCTTCCACAGCTCGTGCTCTTGCCAAGTTCCTCCTTCTCCCAAACCAAACCCTTGAGATGACTTTTCTTGCCCCCCGCGTTCCCTGCCATCACCTCCCCCTGGTCTCCCCAGCCTCCTGGTGAGGATGAGTCCAAGTAAATATAAAAAAGTCCTTGCTGTTGAGGATGACTTTAAATTATTTCAGGTTTTATCACTAATAAATCATGCTTCGTCTGCTCGGATAACCACAGATAACTTGGGCATCGCATCTGTAAGGGCAGAGCTGCACAAAATCCCAAGTATGGGTTTAGATGTAGGGTCTGTAAATCCACCTCCTCCGAACACCCATCCCCTGCTCCCACCCTCGCCCCAGCACCGCCAGGGCAGCTCGTAACCCACCCACAAAACATCTCGCTCCTCGGGATGAGGTGAGAACACTAAAACAGGGAACAAACTTTATTTTGAGCTCAGTAAATGGAGTTTTTTGAGGTTTCTTGTTCTCCTGCAGTGGAAGAGAAGGCGAGCGGGGCTTCAGCTGGGGCGGGAGCAGCAACACGAACAAATCCTGCAAATTAACTTTTTTAACTCTCAGCTGCCTGCTGGAAGAGATATAAATCCTGAACCTGAGACCCAGCTAAAGGAATCAAGCATTCAAAAGCCAGATTAGAAGATGCCGGGGTTTCCCGCAGAAAGCTTCAACTTTTTTCTCTCTAAAGACTCGTTTCAACAAGAAACGGAAAGCTTTTTGGCCCAAGCTGGGTATTTTTGGCTGGAAAGCTTTGGGTCTTAGCGTTTTCAATTTTTTAATGAAACCGTTTTTTTTTTTTTTTTTTTTTTTTTTCCACTGCGAACAGACACGCTTTGCCAAAGGAGAAAAAGAAATCGCTTCTTTAGACAGCCCTACTCCCCCTTTTTTCACCTTGTAAAAACTATTGCAACGGGACATTTTCGACCCGCCCTGCACTGGGGCTGCTAACAAGCTCCAGCTTCAGGCTGGTGGGATGGGAACCCAGGCCCTGGCTCTGGGGGAGGGAAGGAGCTGCTGTTTCAGGGTCGGAGGAGCCAGAAGGCAGGGGTGCAGGGGGGGCTGAGATGCTTCCATGCCATCCCCAGCACCCCGCATCCCGGCCGGACCCCCTGTGCCAGCAGTGAGCCACCAGCAACGCCTTGACCCCCGGTCCCCAGCTGATCTGTGGTGAAATAAAGTTCATTTTTCTGCTTTCAGGGATGTAAGTAACAACGCCTTAAGTTGAGGCAAACAAAGGGAAATTGTGAAGGCGTGAGCTCTCCTCGAGCAGGGCCAGGCAGTAGCGCCCAGAGCCTGGTCCTCATTTCCCTTCCTGCTCCCCAGAAAGGGTTTTGGGGGTGCTGGAGAGGTGGAGGGAATTCCCACCACTCTCCCAGCACAGTTAACTGCTTCCCAGGGCTCTGGTTTATCCTGGCTGCCCTCCCCCACCAGCTCCTCCAGCATGGGGGCTCCTGGGGATGTGGTGGGATTTGGGGGAGAGAAGTGCTTTTTCCCAGCCACGGGGTCACTCTGCATCCATAGGGAGCCCAGTCCTCCAGGATCAGCACAGGAAACATGGAGCAGGGAGGGGATGCTCAGATGGAGGCCAGGGTGGGTCCCTTCTCCATCCCCAGCTTTTCCATCCCAGGAAAACGCAGTCCCTGTCCTGGGCTGGCAGTGATGTTCTGCTCTTATCCCTCTTTGTCCCATTGACCCAGTCATTTCCCAGGACCTTCCTTTCTCCTGCTTTCCCCAGCTCTCCTCCCCCTCTCCTGCCCGTTTATCCTTGCTCTCCCCTGACCCCTCACTCTTGCTAACCTCTCTGGGACTGACAGCACCCTGATCTTACCCAAAAAAACACAGCCGGGTGGTGGGTGGTACCTGCAGGCGGGTGCTGTGCCTCAGTTTCCCCAAGCCAGCACCTGGGAAGATGCCTGCTGGCCTCGGTGAGGCACTCCACAGTGTTTTAAGGGGGAATTTCCCAGTCACTGGGTCATTCACCCTATTAAACGCTCTTTGCAATTGTCCTTTTCTCATCCCCCTGCCTTCTCGAACCAACGGCTCCTGCTCTTGAAATTTGAGATTGCCAAATTTAAATACTTCTCTCACCCCCCACGGTTTATAACAAAAATGCGGCTATTGGAGCTAACAGATACAAAGGTATGTAATAAATATGCTGATGCATGAGCAGCTCCCCGACTCGCAGGCTATTAGCACAATTTCACAGTAGTTGGAATGGTTTATTGTTGGCGTAATCCATCGTCCTATACAAAGCGGGTGAAATGAAGTTTCCTACAGCAAAGGCATTCCTTTGAAAACTCGTTTTCCTGAGCTCTGTTTATGACACAGGGGATTTTATGTTCCCTCTGTTTTTCTTCCCCAATTCAAGGACTGTTCTGAAAACCATTGTTGAAAACAGGCATTTTTTTAAAAAACAAACCCTACCATCTAACAACTTCAGCCATTTCTCCATTGATAACAATATTAATTTATCATCTCACCAAGCCATCTGCCGATGGGCAAAGCTCTCCCGGAGTCTCATCCCCACCGAATGTGTTTAGAATTAAGGAATTAACCATCCTGTAGCATCTGCCATCTCCCTCACAACTGCCTGACGCCTCAGCTCACCCAGCAGATTGTGTTTTCTCTGTAAGACTTGATTCTTTCAACCATCGCATTGCTCCATTCATGTCCTACACCTAACGTGTTTTAAAAAAATGCATATAATAGAGCCTTGTGCCCTGGGAGCCCATCGAGAGCTGCCAAGGGAGTGGCAAGTGTTCATGAGCTCGGGGGAACTCACAGCAAATGTGCCATGAAAGAGCTGCTGAGATTTTTGTATTAATTCAACTTCATTAATTCAGCCTAACAGACACATCCAGCTAAACTGCCTTTCCTCTCGCTCATGTTTCTCACTCCATCCTCTGCACTGGGTTACGTACCTCCATTCCTGACGCATCATTCCTGTCATAAAATTATAGAGGCATGAGTTGCATGATTTTAAATGGTTGGTTTTTGCCTGTTTGGTTGTTTATGCAAAAATATCACATTGCAGAAATGTTTGCACAATGTCTACTTCGTTCTAACTTGGAGAAAAAAGAAAATGCCACAAACTTTTGCATGTGTTTAGGGGCACGGTGTGAGGTTTGGGGAGCAGAAAGCGGAGCTGGGCAGAACCTGAGCAGAGAGCTCTTTGGTTTTCTAGTAGCCGAACCTATAATAACTTTTAATTAAAAGATGTTTTTTTGAATTATCTGAAGTTGTCTTAGCAGCACAGGTGAAGGCATAAGAAGTTGGGCTTTAAGGATAGTTTTTCCCTGATAGTTAAAAGTGATGTGGCTGTGCCACGTTCCCTGCCTGCGCGGTCGCTTCCAGCTCATCTATCGCAAAAATGATAAAAGCCCAAAAAAAAAAAAGTTGTGAAAAGAGATGCCTTGTGGCAGAGCCCCGCAACAGGCAGAGCATGGCATGAAGTCTGCAGCCCACATGCAAGGGAATCGATGACAGATGGAGCAGGGCTGTTGCATGAAGCGGCAGGGCTGGGTGCGCGCCAGAGCCCGGGAGCCGAGGGACTGCCACGGCTGCGGGTGGGTGGCCAGGCAAGCCCAGGGCCACCGGTTACTCAAGCAAGGGCTCGGGCTCCCCCGGTATTTTGAGGTCAGAGCTCACAAACCATCTCTGCGTGGCCCCCGATGGGGACGCCAGGGCTGGGGGAGTCCGATGGCGGGGCTGGTCCTCCACCGTGGGGGATGGATGGGCTCATCCCAGAGGGCACTGGAGCAGGATGCCCTTTGCTCTGGCAGATACATCAAATCCCTGGTCCTGCGTGCACCCATGAGGTGTGTGGGCTGTCCCGAGAACCAGCAAAACCCCAGATATTAAAAATTTCCCATGTTCATCTTTTAAAACTCAGAACAAAGGCAAATTGTTCCTCTTTTCTCACTG